ATGGTAACCATTAACCCTCCGCTGAATCTGTACAAGTGTCCAGCTAATCTGTTCCTTGTTTTCTACGTTATTTGCTATTTAGTATCGCGGTGATGACAGATTATTTTCATTACAAACACCGGGATATGTTGCCTGACCTTCTTCCCAGTGAAGGTACATGAACTGAGCCGTCATGTCGATGCTGGTTCAATTCGCGTAGACTAACGTGTAGTCTCTAAAAATATATAATTTTGATAGAAACAAGCATGTACATTTAAATTTGAAAAGGAGCCTTATGACATGGTAGTTTCGGAACCTGTGGAAAATGTGAACTTGCTTCATTAAGGGCTTTATAGCATTACAGGTCTGGGCGGAAAGGAAAAATACAAGGTTCAGGGACTGTGAGATAGACAACAACTGGAATAGTAGAGTCGTTCTTTACCTCTCGCTAATGGAATAGCGACGCCAACACTCTGCAGTAGGAGGTGTTCTTATTGTGTGATAAAACCCGGCGATTCACACACCTAACCGGCTATTTTCTTTTCCTTTCTCTATTGTTAGTTAGCGAATATGCCCCAAATCATGACGTTTGCTAAGTGTTTTCATAGCGAAGGGTTTGAGACGTTTTTTGGACCTAGGCGTGATACCTAAAACTGGGGTTGTATTGATGTAGTGGAAAGGAGGTGGTCCCTGGATAATACTCCTGCTTTCCACCAGGGCCCATGGCGTGTATATGTGCAGTGAACGCACATATTTATGCATAAGTCATCCCGCGAGCTGGCACCCCGAGGAAGAGGTACACTGACTCCAAAAAAACTCCAGCATCTCAATCAGATTAAAGGGAAAAACGTATTTTGGTTCTTCTTGTAAGGCCTCGGCAACTTTTCTTTGAGAAAAGTTGTATCGATAGTGGATAAACCTAGTTTCTAAGACATGTAGGTACAAATGTACCTCTGTAATTTCAAAGCGTGACTGTCAGAATTGGTGTCAGCTATTACGGCAGATGCAGGTATGGATATAATGAAAATTTGTGGGAAGCTAAGATATAATCCAATGCTGGCTGTGTGAGGTGTAATTTCGAACCATGGTTTCGAATAAATTTAATGAGAAGTTTTGTGACCGAACAGGTGTACTTGCATCCTCCTGTCATGAACATAGCGTGTACGGATGTCCTGGGAATACATTGGTCCTTACAAACAAGCATCCTCGCTTTCCAGTGTAAAATGTCTCCGTTCTATTGTGAAAACCACCCAGGATCCATTCACCAGCATCGAGGAAGACCAACAATACCCTCTTTTCGTATAACATTGCAGCATTAAAATCAAGGTCAGTTACCATTAGAAGTGTCGGTTTTGCAGTTTCTTGTTGAGCCACAAAAAAGAGTCCAAAAAGAAATGGTCTCTGCAAGCTATAATATTCGTGAAGGTGTGAGTATGGTTTACGCCGCTTTGAGCAATGTTCCAGCAATATCAAGGCTGGGGATACCAGAAATGGTCTTCACCCATTGTACCCACGTGGAGAATCGAACGCGGGACTTCGGCGTGACGAGCAAACGCTTAAACCACTTTGATACGCCACCGATCGGCTATGATATATAATAATAATCAGATGAACGTTAAAGAAACAGATAAAACAATAGCAACCCCCATGAAACTTAGTTTCTGTTGTTCGCAGCATGCTCTGCTATTCCCCCAGACAACTAAACTAAATACAGGACTTCAAGTTTCAACACATTTACACACACACGCACATGCACGTAAACACTGACACACGAACATGCACACACACCTACACACATAGGTACACATACATAATCGGAAACAAAGCAGAGACACGCACACACACCTACCTCTGCACATACACCTTCATATACAACATGACTATTACTGTGCCAATTCAAGGTCCAACTATTCGGGAACACCCGCTGAAGAATCCTTATTAATTCCCTCCAGTACAAACTTGTCACGGCTTGCCGTGTGATTAGCGGCTGAAGAACGAAATAAGCGTAAGAAAAGTGTACTTTTGATGGTGTGATGTCATGGTGTGGACATCTTCCCGCGGTGTAGTGTTAGTTCAAGAGCTGTCATCGTTGCCGCGTGGTTACGTAACTTTACCGTGCTCAATTAGTCATAGGCAAACGAAAGAAACCCATACAGGTTAGTCACCCTTCTCGGAATGTTTCGTTGTAGATACACCCTCTACCATCCTGCTAGACGTGCGACTTCCAATAAATGTCCCCACAGTTGTTACAGTAATATCTGACAATGAAAATGTTACACTAGGAAAACTATAGTCACGGCATTTTGGAGAACTCTAAAAGTGTAATCATAAGAGTTCTCTTCGTTTCGAGTTTATAGATTACTAAATGTTATGCAAATAGGCTCTTTGGTTGGATCACATTGTCTGCGGCATCAATTATGAGCAAATAGCAGTATTCGCTCACGAGGAGGTTTTATTTAAGAGTTCCATCCACTACATAGCGACAATGACAGGGAGCCGTCGGGTGCACGGGTGGCCCAGTCGTCTAAGGCACCGCGATTCGCTGTGCAGAGTTGCGTCCCTTGGGCACGCCAGAAACCTATGATAATGGGTTCGCATCCCGGTTCGCCCCTATTATGTTTCTAGGTTTGTCAGCACCATACCCGTGCTCGTGGGTTTCACCGAAGTAGTAAACGTCTGAGACCTGCATCACTTCGGGCTTTTCCCCCACATTAAGCTGGCACGCTGTGATATAACTGGAATAATGTTAAAAGCGGCGTTAAACCCAACTCACTCACTCACTCGATCGTGGCGGGAGAGACACTATGATGTAACGGGGGTTGCAGCCACGTTGGTTTTCGAATCCGGGCCATCGACGTGACGAGCGAACGCTTTAACCACAGGTCTACCCCTCCCCCGGGGCGTTCTGGTGTATGCAGCGGTATCTTGGTCCCCTCATGACCAGCTGCAGGTCGCCATCAGTGTCATACATACCTCAAGCAGGGGCATGGCTTGTCAGCGAGAAAACTTGTACACCACTTTTTTATTGTTCATTCAGTGAGTGAGTGAGTGAGTGAGTGAGTATGGGTTTCGCCGCTTTTAGCACTATTCCAGCAATATCACGGCGGTGTACACCAGAGATTGGCTTTCACATATTGTACCCATGTGGGGCATCTTCGGTGTGACGAGCGAACGCTTAAACCACTAGGCTACCTCACCGCCCCTATTTTTCATTCAAGAACTCCCAGGTCCCTTATGCGTTTCCCAGTTACAATGTTTTACTTTGTGTATCGGATTAAAACAATATTCACTAACTCATGCATGAGTGAATGTCAATCGTTTTAAGCCGCTGTTAGCAATGGGCGTCACACATTTTACCCATGTGTGGAATCAAACCCTGGCCGTTGGCGTAACGGGCGAACGCTTTAACAAGCAGGCTGTCCCACCGTCCTACTCATGTGTGAAGTAATGGCATAATCTGAAATGATATATAACATGATTATATATAATAAGTTGTTTGGCTATTAGGTTTTTGTTTGTTGAATCGAATGCCTCGTGGTGTATGGTTGTGTGGTATTTTTACCTCACTGTCGATAAATGTTCGGCGTTACTGTTGACTGATGTGAATGAACAGCTCATAATACTGACTTGAGTCAGTCATAATACTTAATGGGTTGAGTCGTCGATGGATTCAGTATACTGACTGTTTATTGGCAACTACTTCAATATGTGCGTAAAGTTGCTACTATTAGTATTATTGCCTGCGAATTGATTGAAGGAACGTGTATTTGATGTACGGTAACGATGGGCGTTGGTTGCAGAGAGGACTAGTGGTACAGTAACTATGGGGAACCCCGTTTCACAGCACAGACAGGATACGAACCGATTTTGCGAGATTGGGGAATGGTTCTAATTATCCCTTTAACGAAACACGAAATATGTCACAGGCAATTATGAAAAGATGCCTTGGGAGTGAGGTTTTGTAATACCACCCTAATATTTATCCTGACATTTGAATGTCATGTTACAAGCATTAAGTACAATACTACACGTATCTCGGGAATGATGGAACCAGAATGCCCCTCGAAATGACATTGACAACATAGTTCACTATCAGTACTCAGCAGACAGGATTATGTGCATTGGGTAGCTGAGATACACTTATTAAACACGATATGAATTGATATGACAGTGATGCATATGCTCCCAATATCAGAATAGTAGATGCTTTTGTTGGATGCTTTCAAAGACGGAAACGAGCGGCTGGATCGTCTATGACGCCGCAATTTGCTGTGCAGAGGTGCGTCACTAAGGCGTGTCAGAAACTTATTATCGTGGGTTCGAATCTCACATTTGCTTTGATTGTGTTGTTAGGTTTGTCTGCAAAATACCCGTCCTAGTGGGTTTCAGCAAAGTGGTAGACGCCTAAGACCTGCATCACTTTGGGCTTTCCTCCCACAGCATGCTAACACGCCCTTATATAACTGAAATACTGAAATACAAAGCGGCGTTAGGTCAAACTCACTCACTTTTCACAGAGTGAGTGAGTATAGTTTTACGCCGCTTTTAGCAATATTCCAGCAATATCACGGCGGGGGACACCAGATATGGGCTTCACACATTGTACCCATGTCGGGAATCGAACCCGGGTTTTCGGCGTGACGAGCGAACGCTTTAACCACTAGGCTACCCGACCGCCCCCACTTTTCACAGATGGTTCCGTATGGTAAAACCCGTGTTGCATTACATTATTAATAACTTTTAGAATGAATTATCAGCCTAATTTGCAGCATTGAACCTGATTGTGAACCCTTGTTAACTCGAAGTCGTGAAACCATCTACTTGTCCATAGTTCGACACAAACGAAATTAGCGAGTTCCGATATTAGACCACCATGCAGATTAGGATTATGTCGGTACTGTAACCTTACTTCGTCTTAAATATATTTCGAGTTAACGAGTTCAAGTTAACGAGGTTCCATTGTCATTTAAACATCTTGAAATCAATCCAAATAATCTGCCATACTTTGTTGCATGTTTCAGAAAACTTTGCTCAGAACTTGGATGATTATGAAGTGGTAATTCCAAGCCGTGTTAGTTCAGATGGAGGATTTATAACACACACATTACAAGCACATCATAAGATATGGAAGAGAAGTGTAGATGACGCAGGTGCGTCCTCTGATGACGTCATCCATTACCAGATTCCGTTATCAGATAGGACGCTTCAAGTCAAGTTACAAGTCAACAGTAAGTTGCTCACGCCGTCGACGGTGGTCGAAACCAGAACAGGAAGATATAAGAACGTGTCGGATTCTATGTTCAAAATACTTGATCACCGAGGATGTCATTTTACTGGTCACGTTACAGGAGAAGACAACTCTAGAGCAGCGATATCAGCCTGTGGGGGACTGGTAAGTCTTTTTAAAATTGTTTTCTATAAGTATTTTCACATGTGTCTATATGCTGTCACGTTGCAGTTAGAAATGCCATTGTTGGCATTCTGTATTCCTGAGTTTTCTGAGAAAAGCTTATTGTGTGAATAAAATCGGGGGTAATATTCCATAGAAATTTCAGACCTAGGTTATACCACCCCGTTTTCAGACAGTGTTGTCGCGTTGTGTCAATTTTGATGCCATCCGCTTGTTTAGGGCATATTTGGTCGTTCTGTGCGTTGTTTTTTTCAGCGTATGGAGATTTAACTGCGTGTTTAACACAAATATATAGTTTTACTTCTGTAAACAAAATAAAGAAACACCATCACCATGCAAGCTACAAAGATTCACATCGCCCCACGGTCTCCCATTCAGATATTCTTCACGTACGACCCTGTTGTGGCAGCGTGATGACAAAGTAAATTACCCTACCAGCAGGAACAGCACAGCCATTGACCTTGGCACCTTCACTTGACATTTACTCATTGAATTCAAAATGTCCCACCATTTGACGTTCAGCTCACTCTCAAACGATTTCATTCTTGTGATCCCTGGCTTGTTTATGAACGATATGATTGAACGTCAATCCTTGTTCACAATCAGATATCATCTGCCTTTAAAGATTATGCAAACACAGGCCACATAACACTGTTTTTGTCCATCTGTCGACGCCCAGACGGTTCATCCTTTCTGTGCTAACAGCAGACGTCACTGAAACCTCGCCATGTCTCGCCTTGCACTGTGTTGCTAGATTTGCCAGTTTGCTGTCAAAGATGACCACAATTAAAACAGTTATCTCCCTTGATAGACCTACAGTCAGGGGAAGCGCTGAGTGAATTTACCCCGCTTGCACATTCAGTGCTTCCCACCAGTTCTCGTTCTGACACGAAATTGTCGTCTGCTCCTTCGTATTCTATTTGTGGTGCATGATAAATATTTGGATTTACGAAAATGTATAAAAACACATGTCTAGGCCATTATTTCTAACGTTTTATAAACAGTGAAATGCTATAGCCATGATGTCATCCTGAGAAAACCTTCAAGATTGGTCACGATTGCTTCTTGACTCTTGTAAGGCTTTTGCACTCTTAGACTATCAGTTACTCTATGGGAGACCGCCAAAGGCAATGTGGCAATGATCAGACAGATAAACAGTAATTCTAATATTTCATATGTACGTCAAATATTTGCATTGATTAAACTTCACAAAGAAGGAAGGGTGGACATTAATATGTACAAGATCCGTTCATGGGTTGCTAAACCACGTCTGTAAATCTCATGGAGTAGATATACTAATCATGCTAATTGAAAGTCCTTTCAATGGCCACATTTACTCAATCATGACCAGTTCTTAATATGTCTGTGATATGTCAAACAGTGTGGCATTAAGTTTCCAATGTATTTTTTTACTTGTGTTATTTAACAAAGTAGACGTTGAATGTTCTCAGAGGTAAGATGTGTCGCGGGTTGCCAAAGGCACAACGGGAGTAGAGTACGAGATTATGCCCTATTTTTGCTCTGGACCTGGGAGGCGTTCCTCGGGGGCATACCTTCAATACATTATTTGCATTTTGAGACATATTACCCCTTCTCACAGACTGACAGTTGTCACCTGAATAACTGATCTCACGTTTGTGTCGCTCTGCAATGTCACTGACTGACCTTTGCATAAACATAACAAGGCAGTTGAAATCCATATGTCAGCAGTCTCTTTAAATGACACTTAAACATACTTTCACTCCATCTTTTTCATTGGCAAATTTCTCACCATTTGGAGAAAAAACTCAAATGTCCCATGATCACGACCATTAGAAACCGTGTTAAAATATTGAAGGATTTAAAGAATACGACCCAATGAGTGACACATCGTGACTAAACCCGAGATGTCGAAACACAATTTGTAATGCTCTGAAACATTTTGTTTAAAAAACGAACTTTGCTTGGAACTAGCTGCTAGTGACATCATTAGCTGTTCCGGTTGTTTTGACAGACCTATATGGACAGTGTGTGAATTCTTCTCGCATATGGAGCAATGCGTTTGCATGGGTACTGAACTCGACTTGTTAAACATAGATCAGCATATGCAGTTCACTTCGATTGGGTGTAACTTACCGATCCCCCAGCCGTGCTAGAACTTGTGCAGTTGCCAGCTAAAAACCGCTGTGATGAGGGAATAAATGTCCCAGAATGATCGTCTTGCTGAATTAAAAATTAGGAGCAACCGCCCTCAGAAAGTAGCCGAAACTTCATCTCCTGTTTTAGAAGAACCAACCAAACAAAAACATGTTACCCTGACCCAGTTTGAGTATTATGTATTTTATTTCTTTTGAACCTTACATTTTATTTGTCAAAAAAATAAAATAAATGGCATTTTCTAACTTGAATAAATTATTTTATACACTCATATCTTCTTCAGTATGTTTGTTGCAACTTGATGCTTTACATCAGCCTCACCTTGTGAGACAACTGTGTATGTTTGAGGAGGACTACCTGCGGATTTTATCTTCATTTTTTATCTGTGTCACTGTCTGTGTCTGCAGCAATTCGTTTTGTCCTTGAAGTACACATTTCACTAGTTGAAAATTCATTTCCAATAATATCTTGACCTTACATATTTCTGAATGTGCATGCTGTTAACATTAAGACTAATTTCTCTTTTGTTGTCTTAATGTCAGTCGTGCCAGATCCATCGCACTCCGGTCATGTTGATGTGTGTAATGTCGAAACCTTTTCTACTCGGGTCTTACTTTTAGGAAGCTCTTTTTAAATATCATATTTACTTTTATTTTTGTTGGCAAGGTTGCGTAATCTCGGGAGTGTACGCTCATCTTAAAATAACACGATTGAATTGGTAACGTTAAATTTGCAGGTCAGAATCTCGATTCTGAATTGGGAACATACAAGTATACTGAAACTGTTTTAACATTTCAATCGCTACGTGCTTTTGCTGTTGTTTTAGTGTTGACACGCCAGGAGTAAATGTTAGCGCCATAGAGATTGTCCACATGATAGCGTTAACACGGTGGCTAACATGAAGATGCCCGAGTTATCTCCGCTATCTCACGCCTGTATCACACCAGGGGGCGCTATGTTTTTACAACCTCTTCACTGGTGGTTCGGGAGTGGGTATTTGTATTTCGATTTATAGTGTACACCTTCTCTTTTCGTGGTTCGGGGTTTGAAAATTTTGTTTGACATACCGAAATTGCGGATTTCCAAATTAAAGAAAAAACAATTTCTCCCTGTGTTCCTGTTTGTATTGATGGGACAGGAAGTATCCTTGAACTGCCGAGACAAACAATTAAGAAGCTGTTATCCATTAAAGGTGTCATGCCTTCTTGTTCAACCCATTTTAAATGCCCGTCAAAGAATCGTCGCTTTCGTTATTTAAAGGCTAAACAATTCACATAGGTGAAGGGATGTAGCGAGGAATCTGTCTCTGTCATTTCAAAGCAGGCTTAAAGAGGCTGACAACCCCCTTTTCCAACGCTGGTATTCCGGACGCCACGGCACAGTACGCTGAACACCATGAAATGTTTATCTGGTTCCCGGATGGCAATATTTCAATGTTGAAATTTATATTTCGTGGCAAATCACTAACATATAAAGACGTAAGCTTTTGAGCAGCCATGGTCATGCATTCTATTTGAAAACCCAAGTCTAATTTACTTGGACCAGTCGTGTACACTCATATGACCCAAGAGTTCTTAAATTGGATGCCAAGACATATTAAGAGGTATGCAGGATGCCGGGGAGGGAAGGGGGAGGTGAGAGAGAAAGGTTGGCACACTCATTAAAGTGAAGCTGTATTGTTTATGTGAAAGATACGGTACTTACTGTTCCCGAAACCAGAGTATGCACATTTTAAATAATACGTCGTTACAGGAAGATAAAAAAGGTAAACACGTTAAGGGTTCATTCTATGAGGAACACAATAGTGGGAGTGAGACAGGGTGAGATATGTGACCGATATTCTTCAATACTTGACGATGATCACCGAGCGTCTGTGACCCCGCGTGACCTCCTACCTGTGATACCTGTAGTACCCGACATGCGGACGACACTTGAGTGACGTTATAGACGTGACCCCCGACCCCACCTTGCAATCAGCTGTTTCCCAACACGTTGGTGTAAGTGTTTGTGCCAACCCTTTCCATTATACGTGACTGTGCATCAGATGGGCTTGATGTGGGGCGAACGGGGCACTGGACGTGGAATGCGGACAGTGCAAGGGAGATAGTGATAGGGAATGAACCCCATTCTAGACGTTGGCGTGATTTACCTGAATGCGGAGTGATCGTGACGCTAATCGGCGTCGGGCACTGTGTCAGTGAAGAATGAGATAATAGAGACAGGTCTGTTGACCTGTGTCAATGTATTGAGGTTACAACCGAGTAGTTATTGAAAATTAAATGAATAACAGATAAGGTTCGCGATGAAAAAGTGTTTAATGACATGTATCATGTACGTATACATTAACAGGGTGTCAACATGTAAGATATCTATTAAAAAAGGATTATTTCTGTTTTTCATAATCTGTACGGATTATATTTAATAATATTGAAAACATTTGTGTTCAGGACATCCTACACCTACCTGTATGATATGACTGACAGATTGAACCACGTCTACTGTTAGGTGTCTAGCTTGTTCAAGCATATTGTACATGCATGTCAGACATTGATGTATCGGGTTGAACCTATATTAGTTAGAGGACGCGTGATATACAACAGGTGCTTGCTGGCAAGTTAGCCGCTAACAGGAGTCAAGGAGGTCTGATCCTCAGCGCCTGTATGCGTTGTTAAATGAGCAAGATACAGGGAGGTGGTCTTTTCCTTCTCTGCATGTAAACCTGCATGATTAGGTTTGTGGAAGGGGTACACTGTCGGTCGGTCTATTTCACATGGGTACCCTGACATTAGATTTGCTACCTGTAAAACATTGCTTGATCGGAATGTTAATCGGAAATTACATAACTA